GTAATTAAAGTCTCTATCGAGTACAAAGGGTTATCTGTTATCGTGATAATCCGACAATTTTGATTGAGTGCAGCAAGCTTATAATCAGTTAGGAAACTCAATTTACAGTTATAATGCTTTGTTCTTATAAACAGGAAATAAAATTAACCTCAATGTTTTAATTATCTTTTTATGGACTTTTCATATCGCTTAAAACTTTCTTTAATTTTGTCAAAATAACAAAATGATATAATTAAAAAAATAAAACAATACAATTTACGCAGTAGAAATCTACTATTTGTAAGCTGCGTAAAACATTTAAATGCTTGTACAAACGCAATATTTTTATCGATAAATTAAGACAGAAACCAGTTTATTAGCCGCGTTACTTGTTTGTTACTGAAAGTTATCAATGAACGACTAACATCCAAATAAAAACGAAACAAAAATAAGAATAAAACGATCACTTAAGGCGAATCGAGACGAAGTGTCTCCTTGCGTTGCAACAGGTCTCATAACGACACGACACGACAAATATTTATGGAAGTACAAATACCACGAGATATTAAAATTGCGATCTCATTCAATGAACTCGAAGACGAGAGTCCTTGAAGAGGCAGACGAAGTAAAAACGTTTATATTTCTACATTCTTTTTTTTGATCAGCCTTTGTCGGTTTATCCGGATGGTTGGACTTTATGCGCAATGATTGTGTAGGTACCAATTTAAGACTATTCCTGTAGACGGTATATTAATTGGTTAAGATATAAAAGATTTTTTTTTTAAATTAGCAACTGATAGTTTTTACTAAATGTTGTATAACAAATGTACATTTTTGCTATTATATTAAGATTTTCATCTTGAATCGATGATTTAAAGTAAAATGAAACTTATATACTTATATGATACTGTATTAAAAAGGTATGCTATTAAGTGCAGAAATACATAAATAAACAATTTACTAGGATACAATATAAATGATTAATGAAATTGGTACTTAAGGAAGGAAACAAGAAGAGTGTATCAACAAGTTTTTAAATGTAAAAATAATTATCCAGTATTCCGTAAACAGATTTTTGTACTGAATAAAAATAATGTTTTGGCTCCAAAAAAGCTGAGAATAAAAGATAAATTAAAACAAAGGTAAGAAAAATTCTATTTATAAATATGTCTACGTAATGAAACCAAAAATAGACCGACCAAATACCTAATACTGGCGGATACGGAGGGATTTCTTCACGTGTTAGCGTCATAAGATGTTTATACGTGTGGAATGGGTTTTGTACTCGAGATTGGTTTTGGTATTTACGTTCGGAAATGGAAGGCAGCGGTCGGCAGTGAAGGTAAGCGGCTTTCCGTGCCAATAAGCCGGTGTAACGAGTGCGTCACACGATCTTACGGCTTTAAAAATACGAGCCGGTATCCGTGGCGGCGTGGGCGGGAATCCCGACTTTCGATCGCATCAAGATTGCCTTAACGATAATATGAGTAGTTTGGTTATTTAATAACAATGATAATTTAACAAGAAACTTATACAATTCTTACAACAAACCTCTCAATTCTTTATTTACAATCGATAAACTCAAGTTTAGTACAAGAAAATAATTTAAAATCACGAAGAGTTCTTGATTAAAGATTATAAAAACTCTTTAGAGATGATCACGACAATGGAAAATATTCTGTTGAAAACAAAATCCACAATCCTAGATTCACTGGAAAATTTATTTGTATGAAATTCATAGCTCATTGTAACAAAAAGCGCGCAATCATTGCGTCGCGCAGCTATCGTCCGGGCTCAGTCCTTTAAAGTCGCTAATCCGCTTATGAAATGTGTGTACGTACGCTTGGACTTTTCTCATCGACAATAACGTTAGCGAGGCAATGGATGCGGCTAAATTGCGTTCCCACCGTCCCCAAGGCTCTGCGATCAATTTTTCCCCTCACAACTCCCGGTACATTGAAATCTTCAACTTCCTGGTATTGTGCCTTATTACCGAGACAAGGCTGGATAGCAAATTATCCGAGAAGAACGGGTTTTGCTGTAAGACGATCCAATAAGAATATGATAAGTGGTGAATTCGAGTTTGTCAATTTTTAAGTAATACCACAGATAATAAAATAATAAAGCTATTCGCCTTAAGTTAGTATAAATGCAATTGTAATTGTTTAATCTTACAATTGCATTTATACTAACTTAAGGCGAATAGCATTATTATATATTATTAATTAAAAATAATATAAGAATGCATTAATTTTATTA